TTTTTATTTAATGTACTTTAGAAATAATTTTCTGAAAGCTACTCTAATTAAAAAGATTGATTCAATTATTCATATTGAACAGATACTAAAGAAACTTGAATATAATAAAACAAAAGAGAAGAGTCTGAATTAATTAAAAAATATTTAATAGTAATTAAAAATCTAAGTTGTTCAATTTATTGTTGTATGTACCATAAAATTTAACTTGTAATACTTTTTGTTCTGAATTATGTACTTAATGTAAAAATGAGGAAAACTGAAAAACTTTTGAAATGAAACTGTTTTAAATTCTATTGGAAAAACTATACAATAGCTTTCTCTTCTTACATCTAAAATGATTTAAAAATCTAAATCTAAAGAGAAATTCTATAGAAAATTTTATAATTGAACTATGACCAACATCTGCAAATGACAGCTACTTGAAATCATTATATATAAAAAAAAAGGGAAAATTCTCAAGATTTCAATTTAAAATAAAAAAAAAATAAGTTGATTTCCTTCTTTTTTTTTGTTGTTGTTTCAAATAACATGTATCTTTCATAATCCCTTCTCTGTTATTTTTCAAATACCTTAATCCGATTCTTTATATCTCGATATGATTTTGAAAAAAATAAAATTAATTAATATATAGAAGTGAATTGAATAAGAAATCTTAAAATCACTTTTGAAATGTAACCTCAGCAGTAATTATAAGGACGAATCCTTTTAAATCAACCTTAAACAATGGCATATTAAAATTATATTTGAATGTAATACCTATAGTCCTTTATACTTTCAAAATAAAAATTTCTCAAGTATAGCTTATTGTTAACATTATAGAATTTTATTTCAAAAATTTGTATTATACTTTTATAACAAAAGCAAATAATTTGTAATACGGTAATAAGAAAAATTTTCATTTATAATTACTATAAAATTACAATATTTTTACACATATATACTAAAAAAATTTTTCTATTATACTACTTAAAAAATAACTACGATGTTATATACACATATATAAGTAAAAAAAACATTGTAATCTGTTAAAAATAAAAACAGGAAAAAAGAAACTAAATTTTTTTCGTTTAACTTTTTTCGTCTACGAAAATCGATAACCTTTGACTTACTATACTCTAGTACAATGTAAAAAAAGGTAACTTCGAAATTATACACAAATTGTAAAGCAGTAGTGTTTAACACTTAATCAATGATATAGTAAATTGAAAAATTTCTGTAATAAACAGAAATTTACACACTATCAATAAGAAGATCTTGAAATTTAATACGAACATTTAAAGTGTTTTGTATGTTTTTCAGACAATAACTGTATACATCTTACGGTTATATTACAGTATCCAGATCCTAATAAATTTTAGTTTTTACTCAGTCCAATATCCCGAATTCTTGTAAAACGAACTACTAATCGTTTCGCATGATTCACCCCATAGCCACATTACAAATTCAAATTATATGATTCGCCGAATTGATGTATTAATTTCGAATTGATGTATTTGAATTCATAGTGAACTTCATAAAATATGCAGAATTCAACAAAATATGAAAAAATAGCTCGGCTATTTAAATAATTTTATCGAACAGAAAACAAAAATAAAAAAAAAAAAATTGCATATATTTAGGGGACTTGAAGTTAAATACAAGAAATTTGAGACTCCTTTATAATATTCAACTTTAAAGTTCGTCTGTTGCATATTTTTTAATAGAATTTCGGAGGATTATTTTTATCGTCATAAATCAGTTTTTTATATCATTGCAGTTGCCAAATCTTTTATTAGAAAAATAGCTAAGTAAATGAAATTTTTTCTTATAATTATTAACAATTTATAAAACCATAAATAAATTTTAAATAAAGTCTAATTTGGGACTTATAAAGCCAACGATAAATTCAACTTATAATCAACTATAATATTGAAATTACCAAATCCAAGATACTATGAAATTCAATTAATTTTTTTATGATTCAAATTTTTATTGGCCCGCAAAAAAAAATGTAGTTTACACCCTTTTAAAAATATAAAATAAACTATAGAAAATGTAATATTCTTAAAACTTCTATAAGTAATGAATATGGTTACTACTTTGTATGTGCTGACTAACAAAATGCCAACATACTTTCAAACAAGCATATGTGCTTATACGTAAATTAGCAATAGCTTATTTATAAAGGTTACAAACATGTGAAAAATATAAACTAGAAAACAATAAAAATATAGTAATATGGCAATTCCTTTATACGAACATGTTTTTGTACACATGCAATACATAACAAGTATACATAATAATAAAAAGTGTTATACTATCTATAACCTTATATATATTTAGGTAAAATTGACATATACGAAAATGACGAAGCGCAAAAAAATTGATTTTCTCGTTCCTTTGTCTAAAATTTGACTTTTTGATATGACGATATGATTATTAAAAAATGAAAAATTAAATCAAAATAAAATGGGGAAAAAACATTTAATAACTTTTATATTTTCTTCTTCTTTCAAAGCAATTTCTGCTCTTTTTTTCGATTTTAGTAATAAAGAATCTATTATATACAGAAATACAATATCAATCTTATATGCATATTTTCTTATCTATGTACAAAATATGTGCAATATTTTATGAGAGAAAAATATTATGATTTTCTCGCAATATTCAACAGTAATATGAAGGAAATTGTAATAAATAGACTATGCAAAACAAAAAAAAAAAATAAAATAAAAAAAAAAGATGTCAATTACTCTCTTTCATGTTATTTTGACACTTTTATAATGAGAAAATTAATGTGCATGTCAAGTAAAGAAAGAGTTTTAACAATTATTGTAGTATTTCAAATTATTTATTTAGATTTATGACATAGTCTTGCACAATACATAATCTCATTTATTATTCACAAAATAAGGATAGGGTAAGACAATGTAGTATTAACAATGGCGTATAAGAATGAATTAATTTCAAAATAATGATTGCAATTAAATTTTTTCCTAAATAATTGAATTAGGAACGATTTTTTTTAATTTTTTAAAACTTTTAGTTGTAAAAAAATTTCCTAGGTTTCAAGACAAATAAAATTAACCGAAACCGGTTTTAAAATCGAAGCTCAATAAAAATATAATTACATGACAATATTTCAAACCATAATATTTCTGAGCCGTCGTAACAGGAAAGTATTTAAACATTATGCTATCTTTTAATATTAAAATAAATGATTCACTTCCCTGAAATTCTAATTTGATTATCAAAATACAAAACGTTGAAACGGAATTGATAATTAAATAAAAAAAACATAAGTGCATTGATCTCGAGTAACTGCACCTTTAATTTTTTACATAAAAAATTGCGAATAACACGAAATATAAAATCCATGAATTAATGAAAAATATTATACGAGTACGAATAAAATTTTCTTGGAAAGCTTATCGTAAGTATAAAAATATATTTTTTAATAAAACTATTATTAGTAGCTATACTCGTATATGAATGTTTTCCATTTAGGATTTTAACCTTTTAATCTAAAAATTAATGAATGATTCAAAATTTTTGGGAGAGGAAAATGAATTTTGGTTTTTACTTTGTTTTATCAAATTGACTTATAATTTCACAAAAAAAAAAATATTTTACAAAGAAATTCGCTATGAAATTTTATTTTCTAAATAAAATGGGCCTAGATTGAGGAAGTGAGAATTAAGGTTTCTGTAGAGTTCAACCGCCTTCATTTTTAATATCCTTATTTGTTTATTATCTTCATTTATAGAAGTTAATAGCATTTATATACATTTAAATTTTGTTTTGTAAATTATTTTTCCGATTCTGTATAATTTTAATGATTTTCAGGGTAATTTTTTAATTATTATGAACTATAATTTTAACATATACACGTAAATATGTACTCATGTCATTAAATACTTATAATTATTTGATATTAACCTTATGAAATTTGTATTTTACGTAAAACATTTTCTATAAAAATAAATTGAAACTTATAAATATTTTGAAATATTTCTTAATAATCTTCAATAGAATATTGGAATAATATTCAATGGAATTTTTAATTTAAAATTCATTTTGCATACAGTGAATCATTATGATAGTATCTCTCGCTTATTTCACTGATTTATTATTAAAATACATATAATTTTTATTTAAATATAGATTTTTTTTTGCAAATATTAAATAATTTTAATGTTATGGCTGTCTAATTAAGATCTTAAAGCTTATTATTTCATCAAATGCTTTTCTATTGCTCTATGGTAAATGCCTTAACAAATATTTTAAAAATTCTAATATTTATAATTGTATTACAATCCTTTTCTCATACCCTCTCATATCTAAAACAATCGAAGAAAAAAAATTGTTTAAGTTAATTAATATAAAGACAAGTTGTCTTGTTTTGTCACTTGTTATGTCACTTTTTGGTAATGTGAAATTAATTGTGTCTTGGACCGATCCACCAGATCTCAATTAGCACAAATGTGCCGTTTTCCTTCCACTACCCCGTTGTCCTCTGGTATGGTAAATTATAACAGGTTTTGTGAAAGCCCAATGGTGTTTCAAATAAAGTACAATATTGTTCCAAATAAAGTACAATAAAAAATACTAAGAAACAAATTGAAAAATTATTTCAGGTATTATTTTAAATTTTTCTGATTGTGAATTATTAGAATAGGCACAAGCTCTCTCTTTGTTATTTTTTTGCTTTTCTGGAATCCTGTGTAACGATTTTGGTAGCACAAAATTTATTATACAATAATAAACAAAACTTATTCTAATTTAAAATATATTTTTGAAGATCAGATAAAGTGCAATTTTTTTCAATACATTCGTGCATATAATCATGTCAAATAATCCGTTGATTTCTCTCAAAAACAAAATATTAATTTTTTTTGCAATGATACATTTTTTTTTTTAAATAACCATTACATTTATTTTATTTGTCAAAATATTTTATCGATTTTTTTTTAAAATTATTAATGCATATATTTTTTCTCCATTTTTCTTTTAATTTTCAGTGATACATCAATATCAACACGTGTTGATATGCTAACACCAGCTATTGAAGTATATAAACCACCACTCTGACATAAGGATGACACTTTGGAGAGCAATCTTGGTATTCCATCAACTAGTAGTGATCTTTAACATAGGCTTAATTACTAATGCCCATTTAAATTATATAGCTACTTAATGATAGAAAAAAAAATAATTAAAAAAAAAATAGAAAAAAAACCCATTTGTTCTTCCATTATAGTGTCAATCAAAGTCTTTAATTAATTTTAAATAATGTGTAAACAAATTTAGAAAAAGAAAAAAAAACAATTAATAAAGTATATTATAAAAAACAAAGTTAAAAGAAATTGAAACAATGGAATTTGATTAGAAATATTGAAAAAAAAAATAAGAAAACAAAAAATTCAATTTAATATAAGTAAAATTAATAATAATAAAAAAATTACACAATAAGAAATTAATAAAGAATTTATAAAAAAAACAAATTTATAATTTATAAAATTAATAATAAAAAGTAGAATTGCCCGGAATTAAATTAAGAAAAAATTAAGGAATTAATAAGAAAAAATAGATGGTTATAAAAACAAAAAATATAGAAGAAGAAAAATAATGAAAAAAATTATAGTAGAATGATTAGAATATTAAAATGAAAACCCGACTTTTAAAATACATATATACATATATATATATATATGAATATATAACAGTACTCGTATAACAGATGTATAACAAATAAAATTATAATTAAATAAATTAATAAATTAATTGTTATAATGTGTGTAAAAATTTTTTTTAACAGATTGAATTTGATGAAAAACCAAAAAAAAAAGAAAAAATAAAAGCAATTTGTTGCATTCTGAGGTGAAAAAATACAATAGTGTTATATAAATAATTATATATTATATAAAAAAGTTATATAATACTACGTACATACATAATTCTATATTCTATGTTTTTTTTTAAACATAGAATAAATGTTTATACAGAAAATTGTCAAAAGAAACCAAAAAAAAAAAATTAAAAGAAAAACAATATTATATAAATGAAAGAAAATTATTTATATATATATATATATATATATATATATATATATATATATATATATGTGTTTAGATAGTTTAATAATTAATAATATATCGTAGGCACAATATGTCATAATGTAGTTAGTTTCTCGTATTATAAATTTAATTTTGTTAAAATATTAAATATATACATGTACATATATTGATGTAATGTGCTTATATCGTATAATTACATTCGTTTAAATATATAGTTATATAATTTAATATATATATATATATATATATATATATATATCATACCAGTTATAATATAATCATAATAGCTATTATAAAATAATATACATGTATGGAATGATTTGATATTTAATCAAATAAATTATGAAAGAGTAAGCGGGGGACCGTGGGGGGCGTCAATCAAATTAGAGTTGTTAGTTTTTTTTGTAAAATTAATAAGTTAATAGTATTTATTATAATTATATTTACATACATACATGTACGCATATATTATATGGGAAATAGAAAATGTACTTATTTTATTAATTTTTTTTAACATAATATTGCGTAAAGCTTTTCAGAGTATAAAAGTTAATAGAACAGATTTAATTTCTTTGAAATTTTTTACAATTCATGTAATACGTAAAAGTATGATAAAAAAAATCTGCAAAACTTGGAATTGAGGATTGTTATGGTCTTTATATATATATGTATAACAGTTATTATACTACTGTTTGCATAATAGTTATTATAATTTATAATACTGTAAAGCAAAAACAGTTATGCCAATAATACTAACAAGTGGTAATTTCACTTAAAAATCTAATTTTTTATTATCTATTTTAATTTATGTATGTATATGAATTCGGTTATATCTTGATACATATGCCTACTTAAATTAGTATCTTAAATGTTAGAAAAAAGTAAGAAAACAAAGAAACTTGTACTTAAAGATTAAAATAATTTTAATAAATTTAAATTTCTAAAACCTAAAGTTTTTAAATCCGTTCACAAATTTTTTATTAAATTCTGGGTAAAATAAAAATATACAAATCTTCCAACACAATTTTTCGGCCTGTCCACTTTTCTTTTTTAAGGGCAAAAATTTTAAAATGATTTTTCAAAATTGGATTTTTTTTTTTGTTTTCAATTTAAAGTTCACGAAAATTACAGAAGAATGCCAAATGAAACACGCAAATATTTAAAATAAACAAAAATTCCTTTGGTTCGAAAATGAAAATTTCTTTTAATTTTTCCATATCATTTATATATTGCGTATATTATGCGTGATATATATAGTGAGCAGAGAAAATATATCAGATAAATATTATAACTTTTCGAAAATATTTTCTATATTAAAAATTTCTGTGTACGATATTTCATAAATTCAATTTTCATTTTCATCGAAAATGATTCGAAAAATTTTATCTATGTATATATGGTTGCGCCCCCTATATAATTATTCCTATATTAATAATAATATATTAACAAGTATCTTATATAAACAAAATTAATTAATATTTTTTAGTGATTTAGAATAATTTTAATCCTATTAATTGTAGGATTTAAAAAAAATTATCAAAATATATACATATAACTAAACCGTATATATATACATATAAAATAAAAATACTTGTATATAATATATACTATATTTACGTGTATGAGTTTTTATTGTATATACATATATATGTATATAATATACTTAGGATGTATTTTTTATTAGATATTAAATACATAAATTGTTGCACATCCATTAATTGCTTTAAATATATTCATTAAAGATTAAATTATAAATTTTAAAAAACAAAGATAATATTAAAAAATTAAAAACAAATAAATGAAAAGAATTTTTTGAATTTTGGAATTTTAAATTATTAAATTTGAAATTTTTCAATTTGATGCTATATACATATATATATGGAGAATATATATGTATGCATAAAAATTATAATTATGAGAGAAAAATTTGTAAAAAGAGAAAAAAAAAACAAAAATTATTAATCTTATTACCATTTTATATCAACTGTGATCATATTTTTTAAAATATGCAACAGAAAAGCAATTTTACAAAAAATTTTTATTATAAATTAAAATATGAAAGAGAGAATAAAACAAAGAAAAAAAAAACTCAATAAACTATTAAATATTTTTAAAGAAAAAAAAAACAAAGAGTTTAATGTAAAGTACCTTATAATTTTGTGTGTTAAAGGATTTGGTAAAATTTTTTTTATTGGAAATTGAAAATATTGGAAAATTAAATATATTAATTGCAATTAGAGCTTTTATTTTTTGTGAATAATTTTCTTTTAAAAATTTAAAATTATTTAAGGAAAAAAAATTTTTTAATTTATTCGTAAATGTCAAATATATTTTAGTTAATAAAACAAAATAATTATTTCATACCAATACCAGTTAGCTCCAATATTTAAGAATCTATCGAACTGTAATAACAATTACTGTAATTATGTCGGGTAAAGCTTGTAATAATATTTATTAAAGAAACATGAGCGAAACCCGCTCTTGTACATAATTGTTTGAAATTTTTTCCATATTTCACCTATTATCGAAGCTGCGGCAATACTTCAACTTTTTTTTAATAAACGGAATTTTCTTTTAAGATTTCATTATATTGAACAACAACTTCCTCAAATTTTTCATTAAAAAATATTTGGGATTTTTTTGTATGCTGAATGTTTTAATATAGGAAGCCAATTTATTCATGGTGATCCATTGTGACATTTGGTGATTTTGGTGATCCATTGTGACATCATGGTGACATTTGTCTTTTTCTTGACTGGTTTCATAAAACATAATATTATCATTGTCCTTTTCGACTACATTGTATTAATCTAAAAAATATTCATAAATACTTTAAAATTTTATGTTTACACTTTAACGTATAATTCTTTTTATTTAGTTTATTTACTATTTAATCAAAAAAACGTAGAAGCATAATTATTATACCAGTGCGAACCTATGTTCGAAGGGTATATTAAGTTTGCCTTACCGTTTGTAACGCTAAGAAATAATGATTTAAGATATAGACGCAAGTATATCTTTTTGATCAGCCTCGAATTCTGAGTTGATCTAGCCATGTCTGTCCGTCTGCCCGTCTGTCCGTCCCAACAATAACTCAAAAACTAATTGAGCTAAGTTCACCAAATTTTCAAAAGTGATTTACTTCGGTAAATGCCACAACCCTATTTAAATTGGATATGATTGGGGCACTGGTTCGGGTAACTGCTATACTATACTTCAAAATTTATTTTTCTATACCTCAGAAACTATAAAGGCTGTGGTATTGAAATTTCACGTATATTAGTATAGGACCAAGGTTTTCACTTGATAAAATTCACTGAAATTGCTTAGCTTTTTCTGGTAGCTGCCATACAACTTCAATAGTAGTTTGGCTATATCTTAGAAAAAATTGAAAACCTAGTGCTGAAATTTTGCATAAATTAATATGGTAAGTTAAAGTTATGGTGTGCCCCATAGTCAGCCATGATATATTTATTCGTACATAGGATAGAAAGTTCGTATGGGTATCCCAGAGTTGACACGGTCAACTCTATTTTTTTTTCGTTTTTTTTAATAATTTTTACAACTTAAATAAATATAACAATGCTTTAAATGTTAATTTCTGCCTATAATAAAATATTTTTTGATGTTTACGAATAAAAGAATTGATCATTGCAAATCAAAACCATTTGAAAAACATAAAAATTATATTTAGCCATTTCATGTTCAAAGCAAAACACAATTTTAACTATAGGAAAAAATTTTAAATAAATAAGAAGTAAATAAGAAATGATGAAGTTTAAAAAAAAAAGAATATATAAGAAAGCTATATAAAAATTTAAAAAAATACAGTGCTTGACAATATGTTAAAATTATAAAAAAAAAAAATTAAAAAAAAAACATGTGGTTAAAAAAATGAAATTTTATTTATTAGTTTTCCTTTAGTTACTCCTAAATTTTAAATAGAAAAATAGAAACAGTAACAAAACCAAAATATATGGAAACTATTGGTCTCTCCACATTGTGATTATTTCAACAAAATGTTTAAAAATATTATTATTAAAATTGTTAGAGATGAGCATTCATATGCATACACACATATAGTTAAGAGTAATATTTATTTATCGTATTTTGCATAATATTGTTTTTTGTTGTAGAAATGAATTGTTTTTGATTTTATTGGTTATTTTATTAATTTTATATAGAAGTTACTAATAAATTTCTGACGTGAGATATTTAAGTTGAAAAATTTGGTATAGTCACTTGATTTATAAAATACTGTTTGTGTATATATACATATATAGAACTTAAATCAAATTTTATATAAAATTATGTTTGTAAAGCAATAGAAATCATAAAATATGAAATCTATGAAAGCAATATAATAGATATGAGCTAACATTTAAAATAATTTTCAAGTGCACGTTACCTATACCAATTCAATAATTGAATAGGTAAAAAATTTATGAATTATTCAATTGCAAATGCTAATGTAGGATTTGAATGCATTGAAGCGAATAATGCATTCCTTGTGGTAAATAATATTTCTAATTATTATACGTCTCCAGTACAAAAGTGTAACTCAAAGGTAAATAATGTAAAAATATTCGTATTTTTATGTAATTCCGCCTGAAAAAATAAACCTACTTTTTTAAAGAACGTTGAGATTTTTATGTAATATATATATTTTTTTTGTTTTTGTTAGTTAAAAATTAAATATATATTGCAATCGTGTTCAACTATTCTGTATATTCCCACAAATAACAGTGGTATAAGAAACTGTTTATACATTTTGGAAAATTCAATTAACGTATTAATTTCCATTGAAAAATTTCAAACTGTTAAAATAAAAATTTCTATTGCTATCAATCATATTACGTATTTATTTTAAATAACATAACTGAAAGCGTCTAAACAGGGTGATCTATATGCAGATCTAACGCGAGCTTAACTTATTCAAGTATATAATTTTAATTAT